CATCTAAGTAAACAAGGACCCCCTTATCCTTTCCTGGTGGAATTAGCATTTCGAGAGTTTGGCATATAGGTGGGTGGCTCGCAGTTTCTTTAAAACCGCTCTGACTAGGTTGACATGTTCCTCTTTTGATTCGGTGAAGATAAGAATGTCGTCTAAGTAAACCAGGACCCCCTTAAATAGGTGCTCCCTTAGAACGTCATTGATTAATTGCATAAATACTGCGGGGGGCCCTTGTAATCTAAATAACAAGACTTTGAATTGGTAGCACCCCATTGGGCAGTTAAATGCGGTTTTCCATTCATTCTCTTCCTTAATTCTCACGCGATAGTAAGCTTCCCTTAGGTCTAGTTTGCTCAAGCAGGAGAACTTCTACCATCCTGGACAAATGGTTTTCCAGTCTCTTCTTAAAAACCTCCAGTGATGAAGCACCCAGACTGTCCCCAAGTTTTCTGTTGAGAGTTTTGAACAGGATTGAGGAACTGCGCCTAAGGGGGTGCCTTTAGATGGCCTTCCAATAGCTGATCTTTTGGGTTGGAAGGCTCAGAAATCGGTCCATTCGCAGAGCTGCCCCCGGAAGGGCTCTGGAAGCTGGCTGTCCAGGACATGGCTGGCCCTTGCTGGCTGACCCTGTGGCGACTGCTGATAGCCTCCCAGAGCCATTTGGAGAGACTGGCTATGAAGCCTTCTGTGGCTCAAGTGTTGTTAGCTCAAGCCCTGCCTGGCTTCTCTAGCCCCTGCCCTTGACTGAGGGGCAAACCCAGCCATGAGGATAGAAGGGGAGAAGAGGATCCCCTTGCTCGGGAGTTGCCTGCCCTAAGGTAGGATGGCAATTCTTCATGGCTATAGCACTAGCACGTAGACCTATATACCACTTCATAGTCCTTTACAGCCCTCTCTAAGCAGTTTACACAGTCAGCATTTTGCTCCTAACACTCTGGGTCCTCATTTTACTGACCTCAGAAGGCTGGAAGGCTGAGTCCACCTTGAGTCGGTCAGGATCGAACTCCTGGCAGTGAGCAAAGGATCCCTGTTCTGTAGCTATGAATGGGTTTGATGGAGGAATTAAAATTCACATGGAGGCCAAGGCATTGAGCAAGTCTTCTGTAGTTCATGGTTCTGTTAAGTATGTAAGGACTGTGGGAAATCAGCACCCACCCACCCTCCTAGAGAAGGAAATATTTTGGGGGATATTAAAAGAGGCAGAATATTATATTTTCCCAAAGGAATAATAGAAAAATCTTAGGCAGAAACCAGCCCCCAGTCTCCTTCCCCCAGGCAGAGGCCAGCTTTTAGAAATGCAGATTTGAGACCACCTATTCATAAGCAAAATGCCTTCAGCCACAGCCCCAGAGAAGGTTTGAGCTGATGGGATTAGAAAAACAAAGACTCCCAAGGACAGGAACGTGACCTTTAGGACATAATAGGATTAACCCACCGCCATTAAAAAAACCAAAAAGGGCACACTCAAGCCAGGTGAAAGTACATTGCACAGGGACAGGAAGAACCTCAAATACAAAGCCCAAAGAAGGTATAAAAGCCCACCACTCCCAGCTCCATTTTGTCAGCCACCCAGAAACATGCTGTGTCACTGAAGTTTCTGGCAAGTAAATAAACAAGAACCTTCTTTTCAAACAGCCTCCATTTTATTTATTCCCAGCTTGGACTGGACCTGATGATTTTTCTTTCAACAGGATGAACCTGATTCAGCAGATATATATATCTCCATAGCTGCTTCTTTGAAAACCAAAATGGCATTTTCTCAGTATACCTTGAAATCCTGCAAAATGATGGCCTAAGGCTAAGCAGCGCAGATTCATTGAAATTTCTGGAACAAACTTGTGAACTGCTTGGTGACATTCTAAGCATTTCCTACTTCTGTTAGGGCAGGGGTCCCCAATCTTTCTGGCTTTGCAGACTGGCAGCAGCAGGGCGGAGAGGGGATTGTTCTGCGAGCACAAACGCACACACCCACTGTTCACGCAAATGGAGCAACGCACATTTGCCATGCCGCTTGCGCAGCCCAGTTCCAAACAGGCTGTGGCCCGGGGGTTGGGGACCCCTGTGTTAGGGAACTGGCAGGCTGGAAATGAATGTGGAGTGAATGTGGCAAGAAATTAAATGGCTTTTCCTCCCTCTCCCAATATTGAGCTGGTGTTGTGTTGCAGCTCAGAGTAGCATACCAAGATAAGCATCATCCCATTGTATCTCCATCTTGTCATTCTCAAACTGCTTCATTTTCTCCAGTCTTTCCAAGACACCCCTTCCTTACCCTTCCTAAAGGTAAAAAGGACGCCTAACCATTATCACTCATCTTTTAACCTTGTATAATGAAATCTTATTCCAACAATGCTGTCCTGATTCTTTCATGAGCCATTAGATGTCCCAGGCTGTGGTAGTACTTTCAGAATTAGAATCCGATACAGCTGTCCTGCTTTGTGGTTGAAAAACAGAGGTTGGGATTCAAGCAATTGAAATCACATTGAGAGCTTTATTTGCAAAGAAAATACTGTAAATTAACTAAACTTACATCCCGGTTTATATACATTTATATCTCTCTGTATATATCTCTCTATATATATCTTTCTCTCTCCCTCCATATATATATATATATATATATATATATCTTGAGTTTGGTGCACCCTGTCGGCCCAAATATGGGATATGTATATCTATATATCTATATACACAGAGATCATATCATGACTAGAACTGCTGGCCCACAAAGCAGCCTAAAGCTTGCCCCCCGCTTGCCATCTCTAGCCCCACCGCAAAAGAGGCTTGTTTGTGCCAGGAGCTTTCCTGTCATTCAGTCTGAACAGAGTTTGACTAACATTACTCTTTTAAAAAACACAATGGCGGGTCGTATTTTACACTCTAGTAAAGCCAACTCTTTAAGACCATTAAAAACAGGAAGCCTGAAGTGGAACGGTCCATAAATACAGGTAGTCCTCAACTTACAACAGATTGTTTAGTTACAACGGCACTGAAAAAAGTAACTTATTATTGTTTTTCACACTTATGATCATTGCCGCAGCCCCACGGTCACGTGATCAAAATCCAGATGCTTGGCAACTGACTCACATCTATGACGGATGCATTGTCCTGGGGTCACGTAATCACCTTCTGTAACTTTCTGTCAAGCAAAGTCAATGGGGAAGACAGATTCACTTAACACCTATGTTATTAACTTAACTGCAGCGATTCACTTAACAATTGTGGCAAAAAAGGTGATAAAATGGGGCAAAACTCACAACAAATGTTTCACTTAGCAACAGAAATTGTGGCCGTATGTTAAGGATTACTTGTAAATGTCCCACTGGACAAACAGAACCGCTGGCTGGGAGCCTTGGCCCTTTTGTTGCTGATTGAAGGGCAAAAACAGAGAAGGTTTAAACATTTCTTGCGGAGTTTTCAGTCTTGGGCCACTATTTCCAAAATGAAACAATCTTACATCACTGGAAATGATGGGACTGGCATCGCTGCAGCTTTCTTTTAAAAGTCATTGCTAAACCAGAGCCTGCAGATAATACACAAACCTTTTTCAGAAGCATTTCTTCATCTTTGCAAATAAATGAGAACAGGAGAATCAAAACATCTGTGCATAGCACAATCATAGAATTTCATCTTTACAGTTGCCAATTAAAATCAAGCACCATGCTGGCACTTTTCTGCTTCTCCAACTACTCTACCAGGATGGCCGTTACTAAGAACCGGTCTGGCTGAAACAAACTGGTGACATTTTTTGTCTCCCTGGCAGAAAGCTGGAAGAAACAGATTACATCATCATAATCGTTGCTTTAATTTTCTCCCATTACCTTTCTAAAGCAGGGGTCCCCAACCTTGGTGATTTTAAGACTTGTGGACTTCAACTCCCAGAATTCCTCAGCCAGCAAATTCTGGGACTTGAAGTCCACTAGTCTTAAAGTCGCCACGGTTGGGGACCCCTGTTCTAAAGGACAGGGGCAAACCCTAAATGATCCCCCTCGCCAGCTGCCAGAATTGCTCCACAAAAAAATAGAGTACCCAGTCATATTGTCTTTGCAATTATAATTCACAGCGTTAAAGTATCAGGTGGGAAGCAGTCGCTTTAAAGTTTGGCTGAAATTGATCTGTATACATTGGAAAAAATTGCTTCCCAGATTCCACCCAAGTCTGAACTTAATCCCAGAACTGCCTAATTGTCTTCCCTTAGCCTCTCTTTTCTTAACAGGAAACAGACAGCTTGTCCACATCTCAGGACAAATATACTGTGCAAGGCAAGGTTGTGTTTTACCGCCCTGACTCAGCCCACTAAGAAAATGCCCATTGGGAAGTTTGAAGACACACCACCCCCCCCCCCCCCCTGCTAATCTTGGTCTGGAAGAAAAGTATCAAGACTGAATAGGGAATTCCACATTCTGAACATCTCAGGATAGAGACCCTACAAAACCAAATCCAGAAAGAAACCTCTTTTTAAAAAACCTGCAACACATTTGCTTTTGAAAGTCGAATTCACTATTTTAACTGGGTAGTGTGTTTTTTGCCAAAGGCAACTTCCAGCTTCATGAATAGTCCCTCATCTGTAATTCCAGTTTCTAAAATGTGAAACTTATTACGATCAGAATTTGGATGTGTCCTGGCCACATTCTAGGGTCCCTTGTATATTTGGTATCAAAAATTAAGTGGGACAAAATCTTTTGCTGTTAACGTACATCCTCCTGGAGAGCATTCAGTTGCATACCTTCCATCATCTGTTGCCATAGTAACTCTTATCAGTGCAAGTTGTGGGAAGGAAGTGGCCTTCTGACCGCCTGCCTCTGATGTGATATATACAGCTCAGGAAGAAGGTCTTGCAGTCTTGCCCTGCCCCCTAGCAGTGCTCCATTTTTTTAGCACTGCTCCACTGGCACCAAGGAAAACCTGGCTTGCTTTTCCAGTAGTTACATAAAAAAATAAATATCTCATCAGTTCTTTCTTTCACTCTTCCCAATCTTTTGAACAGCGATGCCAGGTGGTTTCAGAAGCCCCCGCCTGAGGTCCCAAGGTCCTTAAGAAGAGGGCCCATCCCCTAGCCGTATGGCCCCAAAGAAGGTGGTGTGCTTGCTCATGTTGATGGAGATGTCAGCGTGGACCATTTTAACAGCAATCTTCTGCCGAGCTTTGAGGAGACAAACCCCAGCTGTGTAGCAGGTGTTGAAGTTGGTCTTTCCGGTCTCAATACTCCGAGTGCACTGCAGAAAAGGCTTTTCATCCACCACCACCTCGAAGCTGGCAAAATCTGTGAAGTTTATGTAATATACCTAATTGGAAATGAACATTTGAAAAAAAAAAAAGTATCACCAGGAGGAAGAAACCCTACAGGATTCATGTAAAAGTGTGCCTATAGTAATGCTTGTTATTCAAAATACAGGATATATTACTCTTTAATGAGGGCAGAGAACATGGACACCAGTCACTGAGCCGAGAGCTCTCTCTGTCTCACACACACACAGGGCCCCACAAAAAAAAAATCGAATTCATTTAATGGAACACACAACGATGGTTGAACTGATGATCAAAGATCCTTGAAACAAGTCTGATTTTGTTTACGGATTATTTTGAAAGAAAACGTAAGGCTTCAGTTGATTTTCCACTTCCATGGTTAGTGGCCTATCAAAGAAGCATGGCTGAAGGGGTTGGACTCCAAGGTCTCTTCCATCATCATCATCATCATCATCATCATCATCATCATCATTATTATTATTATTATTATTATTATTATTATTATTATTATTATTATTTGCCATCTCTTGAGGAATAGGCCAATTCACAGAAGAAAAATATACCACTTCATTGGGAAAGATTTGGCCTGTGGGGACATAGGCTCTATTACCTAAAGAAATTATTTGTGGAAAGCTAATTAAAAAAAAAACCCCAACCCTCATATTCTTCATAGAACGCTCCAATCACAGTTTTATGAGATCCCCAGGGGAAAAAATCTATGCCACCCGTGTAAAAGGTTTCAGACTGCTGCATTCATGGAAAGGCTGCCAGAATGACCCATCCAGCTTGGAACACTTTGTCTCGTCTTGCGTGGGAGCCTTCCACACCTCTGCCTGAGGACTTGGCCTGTCTTCTGCCAGTGAGCTTCCAGATTCCTTACCTGGTGCTCATTCGCCCCACCCCCACCCCCAAATTCTGTAGTAATTCATAATATACATACAGGAGGACAACAGGTCAACTGCAAGAAGGGAAGGGCAGGTTAGAACAGGCAGCTTAAGAAAAGAGTTTTGTAGAAAGGCTCCAAGATGGCGCTCGTGCAACTCCCACTGGGTTGAGAGGCTGGGATGTGCTCTGAAAGCTGGCAGGAGCACTTACCATTTTCTTTTATTTTTAAATTGTATTATTTTTCATTTATTTATGCGGGGGCTAATTTTGTAGTAACACTATTTCTCCATTCCTAACCCCCCCACCCCCACAAAATGATCTGCAGTGTCTGTGGGTTGGGTTTTATTCCCCTTTTAATAAAGCACCTGTGACACTGAAAAAGTGGTTTTCATTTTTTTTTAATTTAGGAGATAGAAAAGGACATATTCTTTGAGGAGGCAAGTCAATAAGTACATGAGGCAACCAAGAAATGGATGGGGGGGGGCTAAGGAGGAGGGGATCCTGGCCATCAAAGACAACATTTTGAGGACAGTTGAAAAATGCCATACAGGCAAAGTGGTGGTGGCTGCAAGGAGATGCAAGCTTGGAGACAGGAGGAAGCCTGGCCGGGAGGGCGGTGGGCTGCAGGTGGGGGCGGGGGCGGGCGGGCTGCAGGCTCCATTAGAATCCTGTTAGACACATAGAGTCTAGAAAAGGAGAAGTTTGCATTCCTGATCTAGCAAGACAGCTGATATTTCAGCAATACCACTTCATCCTGAATTTATTTCCTATTGTCTACAACAGGGATGTCAAACTGCTGGCCCACGGGCCGGATGCATCACGTGGAAGCCACACCCACCCCAGCTCCAGCAAGGGGAAAAAAGTCAAAATACGGTCATGTGACATGGCGAGTTTGACACCCCTGGTCTACAAGATGAAAGACTTGTGAATGCACACACTTTTGATTGCCTTCCTTTGTTCTGCAGCAACACCCTTCTGATGCCACAGATGTTGCATTTTGGATACAGGAAAAGGAGTTAGGCCTAAGACCGTACTCACTTCTACCTGACTATAGACGAAGTACGTGCCGTCTGCCAGTACCTCCAGCTCGCCACTCCGGGTGTGCAGCTTAAACACTCTCGGGTTCATTGTTATGCGAGACCAGTCATTAAGGACTCCACCTGAAAGATCTCAGCATGAGAAAATGGCAGTCACTCAAAAGTCATCATGAAAAGAAACATAAAAGTACAAACATGACAGGATCAGGGTAGAACATCTTATAGAAAAGAGGATGATTGGTTTAAATTGACATGTCTCAGGAATGGCGAGAGGCAGCTAGTGGCCTCTCAAGAACACTCGACATAGCAAAAACAAAGCACGTTCAACGGAAGTCATCACCAGTCTGGACAGGGACAGTCACACCTAGGAGGAAACTGTCAATCTGCCAAAATAAAGAAGGAAGATGCATGCTAGTGGCTGTCAAAGCCTTGGTAACAGAGAGGAAGATTTCCACAAAATCCTCTACAACCAGAAATGTTGGGAATATAACTGTTGGGGCAGAGAAGATACAGAAAGAGGAAGACAGGTATGGAGTAACCTAGAAGACAGCAGGGTCCCACCCAGCCACTCCCATGCAGAAAGGCTCCAGAGGTTCAGAGGGAACCCCAAATGTTAAGGGTCTCCTCTCTGGGTACCCCGTGAAGGCTGCATTTATCCAAAGGACACAGAACGTTAATAGAAGGAACACGCTCTCTCCTAAGCCTTTCACTGGGAGATCTAAAAACTGAAATCTGCAGTCTTCTGAAGTGTGCAGCTGAGTTCACAACTCCATGTATCTACATACAGAATACACACATTAGGAAAAGAGTGTAGCAAAAATTCACATGGGGCGTACACGCTTTTCCCATTAAAAGTCACATTATGAAAAGGCCAATAAAAATACACATAAGAGATACAGGGATGTTTGCATAGGCTTTCCTTTTTCTTTTCTTTTTTTTTTTTGCCGAGTTGGTCAAAATAAAACTTGCGGCCAAGAGTTTCATTCATACGATGCAGCGGAAGCAGAGGTAGCATCCCTCGTTCCAGCAAATGTGGTGGCTGAAGGAGAACCACCTCCCGGCCAATAGGCAGCCGTTTGGGGAACAGTCCTTTGCTGCTATGGGAAATGACGCACTCTCCCATCATTTGACCCAACGTAAGCACCAAACTGGGCATTAAAAAAGCCTTATTTGGGGGAGGGGAAGGCAGGAGAACAGAAGAATTGGGCTGTTGGATGGGTGGTTCTCCAATCTGTCTTGCTCCAGGCCCCACACTTTTGCAGGGGGTGGGTGGGTGGGTGGAGAGAAAGAACAGAAATGTGTAGCAGCCACGATGCTAGTTCCAGCCCCCACCCACCCACCCACAGAGTCTCCCTGGCCAGGCTTTGGGCCAATCTCGCTTGCTCAGGGCTGTCTGGGAAGGATCCCCGGAGGGGGCACTGTGTCAGCCCCCGTATACACGGGCGGAGACTGGCACTGTCTGGTGGTGCTTCCACGGCTACTGACCTGGTCTTCCACTCATTATTTTCACTGTCCTTCTCAGTACTTGGCCCGTCCTCGGTTAATTTACCCAACTCGCCCCCCCCCCCCGCTCTTTACCACTTTTATAACATTTACTGTATAATCTTTAATTTTGAAACAGTCCTCTTTCAGCTTACACTGGCACTGAATTCCTCCCACAAATTCCTTATTCATTAGCTCCTTTTTTCCTCTCTGATTTTTTCTAGCCGCTTGGGGAACCATCTCCCAGCCAGACCGCCTTATCAGTGATTTTGGCAACTGGCCTGAAATAGTCATTTGGGGAACACAAACTCGCAGCCAATGTCTCCAGGCAGCGCTCCCCCCCCCGAGGAGGCAGACAAGGCCCCCTCCCACCAGGCGAGCAGAAGGTGGAGATGTGATGCGACTGGCCTGCCAATGTGTTGGCTGAGCTTGCTTTTCAGCTCTTTTTCTTGAGAGACTACATGGGGAAATTGCAGAGGCTCACCCACACACTCTTCCCCAACTCCGCTTTGCAGGATGTTAAAAAGGCTTTTATTTCATTAAACATAATAATGACAAAAGAATAGAAAGGAAAGAAAAAAAGCCCCCCAAAAAATTGCTAAGAGGCTAGGCCTTAAAGATAGGGAAGATACATTTATGGTCCTAATAGCTCAGTGGAGACCTGACATTGCATGTGATGTACAAGTCATCTCTCTGCAAGCATCGATTATGGATATTACAGTGAAATGTTGTGTAAGCACATATGAGAAGTCCTTTTCTTCATTTCTGAGGAAGGCCACTGAGCCTCTGCTGAGGCAAGATGAAACCAGATCAAAGGCTGAGTAATAATTGCTTGTTGCTGTTCCCACAACATACTTCCAAGCATTGTGGGAATATGGACCATGTAACTAAAGAGAGGTGCCCGCAGAAGACTTTGCTAAGAGCCTGGAGGCTGCTGCAGAGGCTATTGAGAACATAGGAAATGGAAAGGGTGACCAGCCTGTGTGTGGAATAAGGGCCCAATGGGAAGCACTGGCCCCTCCCCCTCATAGCCAGCCTCCGTCTTGTAGGGATGTGTGTCACAGGAAGGAAGGTCTAGAGAGATGCTGAGCCTTTTGCTTGCTTGGTATTCTCATTCCAAAGAGCAGAAAAAGAAAAGTGCTAGTGGGGAAGTTCCAGGTTGCATGAGCAAGAGTCCAGATGCAGAAATGAATCAGGATTAAGCACCTTTTGGCTACAAGCAGGCCAGGCTGCTTCCTGAACTCAACATCTGGTTGTGAAGCCCCGGGCCTTTCGTGATACCTGCCGTGGCCCAGACTTAGATTCTGAATCTAAGGAATCAGCTCCAGCTGATCCTGTGGAATGCCAACCTCAGGAGACACCAAGCCAAGAATTACATAAGGCTGATCAAGCACAGGCACCACCTGGACAACTGGAGCAGTCTGATCAGGACGACGGAAGGCCTCCCAGCCTCTGCACCTGGCCAGGAGAGCGGAGAAGAGACATTCCAGGACGCCAAGCAAGTGAATAAATCTCTTGATTGATGACAGCTGATTGCAACCTGATTTCAGAGGCAGCCCTGATCCATCTTCCCTTTGCTGGAAACAACATCTAATTCTGGCTCTCCTATGCCATTCCTGTAGATCCTGCTGTATAAGAAATCTTGAAGCTCTGAGCTCTGTGGGAAGCCTCTTAGAATTTTTGCTTTTGTTTGACTGACAGCCCTGATGAGGCTCCTGCAACCCTGGACTGGATTTTGTCAGGTATAAAAAAGACCAAATCCACCCACAAAGGTCCAATTAAATTGATTTGCTGCTAAAAACCCAGGCACATGAGGAATCTGCCCACCTAACAGTTGGCATTTGCTTGGAGTTAGATTAGGATCAATGAAACTCAAGGGGGAGGGGTTGGACTTAGTCTGCTGGTGGCTACATCGGGATTTTAGGCTGATCCCTCTTTTAACTCCACCCCCAGCTCCTCCTCCTGCAGATTTGGACTATTCTGCATGCTCCTATTAAAAGCAAACTCTTGAGGCAACTTTCTGTTTTGTTGTTGTTCTGTTTTGCTGTTATCTCTTCAGCCTTAAAACAAAATTACTAATCTCCACAGCAACCATGCTCCAGTGTATTTATGATTGAAACCCGAAGCAGGACAATAACGTGGGGCTATGGAATTCACTGGGTGATATCTCTCACGGGGATGTTGTGGAAGGAAGGGTGGAGGGACTAGCATGTATACTGATTTAAGGGTAGAGATTTATCTTGGAGATAAATCAAAGAAGGAAAATAACAAGACAACCTGAATTGTACTAAGAAAATACCTTTCAGGCCAGGTATATGGGTGGCTGTTGAGTAAGCTGAGAAAATTTGAGAAAATCTGATTGATGCAAGAATTGAATGGCATTCTGAATACAAATATTTTACATAGTCACACTTTGTGTTTGTTTTTAGTGTTGCCTTTTTGTTGGTGCTGGAGACAACACTGACAAAAAGCAACACTAAAAACAAACACAAAGTGTCACCGTGTAAAAGAATGGAAACTTTCTGTGTGAGAAAAGTTGCATTTGCTAGAACAGTTGCATATTAAATACTGTTTATTTTCTCGTTGCAGAATAATTCAGAAAGCTTCCGAGTTCCCTGCCTCCACAACAAACCCCTGCAGAACTCAACGGCCTTTCAGGAAGGCAGGTCTCTCCGTCTGCTGCAGAGTCATCTGGAGAAGCAGATATTTGAGAAAAGACAGGATAACTTCAAAAGTCCACCGGAAAAGAAGGTCTGTCCTAAGAGCTGTGGAATCAGAACTTTACTGGAGTGTCCACAAGTGTAGGTTTGACTGCACATCGAGGTTTGTTTTACACACGTGTAAAGCAAATAGGCATCACCTTTGAGGCAAATGGGGTCGAAGGTGACATGGAAGACACCAAAATGGGAACCAAAGAGGCAACTTCTCCTGAGAAGTTACACATGTTGCTACTCAAGAGGCCTAGAAGATTAAGGAGCACCTGAGGTAAAATTCAATTTGACATGACAATTAGAGGCAAACAAAGATTGAGATAGTGAAGATGGTGATGAGCATGAAAACAAAATATCTAGATTGATGTGGTAACTAATTTTAATTAGACATTAAAAAATGAAGGAGAAAGAAAAAAAAGATAATCAAATTAGTGTTATATGCTGTTGAAATGTTAAAATCAGAAACCTGGGAAATATTCTAACAGAATCTAGGAAACTGGCATTGTGAGTTGTGGGTCTTTGTTGTGGCTGAGTGCTTGGCATTCTTACCATTCTTGACTTGGATAGCCGAGCCCTGTCCTTGAAGGTGAACTACTGCTGGCTGCAAACAGAAGAGAGCAGAGTCAGACTGAAGTAAATGTACAGTTTCCAAAAATGCCCAAATTCATCTTGAACATTTACAATACACACAGTCCTCAAATTATCACAATTAGGATTGGAATCCCAAGCACTGAGTGATCATTAAGCAAAGACACCCATGTCACTGTTTCTGGCAGTTACACTCGTGAAAACATTCCCCCGGGTCATTGAATGGACGGAGTGAAAAAGTGCCCACTGGAGAGTTTCCCCTCCCCTCCATGCATGGAGGACAGATCCTTCTTGGGGCTTCAGGAATGGAGCTGAAATCGAGAAGCTTTCAGCTCTCCTATGTGTTCTCCACTTTCAACCTTCCCTGCCAGTTTCCCCTTTCCCCTTTCAAGGAAAGCTGGCAGAGAAGATTGCAAATGGCAATCCCATGATTGTGAGGCACTTGGCAACTGGTTGTAAATGCAAGTCACTTACTAAGTACCTGAAATGTGGTCACATGATCATGGGGGGGGGAGGGTGGCACATCTTTTTATAATTGCCAGAAGTGCTTTATGGGCCATAACACACCTTTCCGAGGCCATCATAATTTTAAAAGGTTGCTAAATGTCTGGTAGTAAGTTGAGGTCTACCTGGAAGAGACCATGATTTTCTGACCTCATGGAACTAAAAGTCCATTTTTATAAATAACTTATTTGGTCATCAAGAATTTCCTAAATGCAAGCTGTGAAGAACTGACAAATTTGTGAAATTACAGCAAATAATTCCTTTAGCAACGTAACATGAGGAAAAGATGGTAAATCTAATCAGATTGCCTAAATCAGGGGTAGACAGCCTTGGCTCTTTTATGACTCGTGGACTTCAATTCCCAGAATTCCTGAGCCAGCATGGCTCAGCATGGAAAGCTGTCCCTTTCCCCTCAGCATGGCTGGCTAGGAATTCTGGGAGTTGAAGTCCACGAGTCATAAAAGAGCCAAGGTTGCCTACCCCTGGCCTAGATTATATGCAAGGATGAATGGATGGTAAACAAATCTGGTCTGGCTGGAAAATTAGCATTTTTACATTAAAAAAGGCACAATTCATTTGTGACCAGGGTACTGAAGTTTCCCCCCCCCCCAATGAAGTCACTGACCTGTGAATCCCGAGGCCCTGCTCTTTCTGCTGTACCTGCAAAATAGTTTCTATATTGAGTCATATATAATTTTATATGAGCAAAATTTTTAAAAAGACTTCTTCAAAATTCCATGCTTTTAGGATTTCATTGGTCTTCAAATTGAGTATCTGCACTATATCTTTCTAGGACACCTACATCCTGGAAAGACACCTTTCATACGGTGACATTGTATTTACTATTTTATAGCCAAAAAAATCTGTTAGCGCCTTGCCACTCTTATAAAACAGAATATTTACACCACTATTGCCCTATTCTCCTCCCCCCCCCTTTGTTCACTCCCATTTATTAAAACATGTCACCCTGAATCCAATAAACCATAATTCAGAAAAATCCTGAATAATAGCTGGTATTTCAAGATATCAAAAGAAAAAGATCTTGCTTCACAATTTATACTCAATATTCTCAGACGAGTATTTTATGTATTTTTAGACCTTTTAAACAGGTTAGGAATGGTGACTCATTTTAAAATTTTACCCTTTTTTTGGCGGGACAATGGAGAGAGACCCATCAGTCTTAATTCTACAATTAAGACTACGTTTGGCATAATTTTGGCATAACATAAGAAGAGCTGTGGTGGTGCAGTGGTTAGAATGTAGCATTGCAGGCAAACTCTGCCCACAACCTGGAGTTTGATCCTGACCGGCTCAAGGTTGACTTAGCCTTCCTTCCTTCTTTCTTCCTTCCAAGGTCAGTAAAATGAGGACCCAGATTGTTGGAGGCAGCATGCAAACCACGTAGTGAGGGCTGTAAAGCACTGTGAAGTGCTACATAAGTGCTATTGCTATAACTCCGACTTGCTCCAGCAAATTCACTGATCCTCATTGCATTAAGAGAGGATGGCTGCAAGTCTGTGCACAGAAAAGTCAACGAGGACCAACAGATAGTTCAGACAGGTCCTGAGAAGATTCCTTTGTTCATCTGTGACATTCTTCATGGGTTATGTGAGATCAAATATGTAGTTTGGACAATCCTCTATTTTGTGCCCTTTAGGACAAGGCCAGATTCTAGGCATTTTTGAGGTGACAGTTTCTCGCATTCCTGTATGTGCCTACAAACCCCAACAGTTGACAAGCATTATATAGTAGGGTGACAGTTTTAATCTTTCTTAAATGTCTATTCACCCTACTAAGCACTTACCGGTAGGACCTTGTAACCCAGGGGGTCCCTGGGGTCCTGGAGGTCCCGGAGGTCCCGGAGGGCCCATCACTGTGGTACCTGGAATGCCAGGGATACCTGGAATTCCAGGGGGGCCTTGGGGCCCAGGTGGCCCAGGAGGGCCTTGGGGCCCAGCAGGTCCTGGAGGGCCAGCTTTTTTGCCTGTGAAAATACAGGGTTAAGTTTTCATTTGTATAAACAGGGTTGCTACGTTATGTAGGCAGATTCTATTGCTTCCTAGGTATGAAGGTATTGGTTAACAGGATTGACACCATTACTTCTTCCAGTAACTCATCAACATACAATTCTTTGAAAGTAACAGGAAGTGGGCAAACAGAAATTTGCAGGAGGTCAACAGAAGGAAGAGACAATGAAAAGAACAGAATGAACAGAGAAAGACCAAAAGAAGTATCCGAGTCCACCAGAGAGCTGCTGACCAAAATGAATATATCCTGAGAGCTGCTGATTGATATCAAGAGTGACCGTTTCCTATTGAGTAAGCAGAGACTGTAAGAGGAATATAAAGAACCAGTTCAATTCATAATAATTCAGTGCATCAAAAGTCAAGACAAGAAACAATGGATGGAAACTAATCAATGAGAGAAGCAACCTGGAACTAAGGAGAAATTTCCTAATAGAACAATAAACCAGTGGAACGGTTTGCCTTCAGAAGTTGTGGGTGCTTCAACACTGGAGGTTTTAAAGAAAAGATTGGACAGCCATTTGTCTGAAATGATATGGGGTCTCCTGCTCGAGCAGGGCTTTGGACTAGAAGACCTCCGAGGTCTCCTCAAACTCTGTTATTCTGTTAGTTGCGTTAAATAATACTTCAGCCAGACTCTATGGATTAATATACATACACGTTAGACAAAGCTTAGTAATCATAGTAGTCATTCGTTGTTTACAAGTGCTGAGTTCCAGTAATCATCACATTGTTTTAAAATGCCTGCAGAGACACTGATTTGATTTAGCCAGATTATTAGCAAGGTGCCTCATTAACATAAAATAACAAAAACAAATTCATCTCGCCCCAGTTAATGAATGTGATGATAGTTTGACATTAACTAACTGAAAAAGTATCACAGGCCCTGCATCATCAAGACAAACTAAGCAGCCTGGATGCTACCTGAAACCCAAATCTTTGGACTAATTAATCCTGCTTCTAATCACAAGGACCTTGCTGGGCAGCAATTGGACTGACGTGAGACTTGACCGGCATGCATTTGGGCTATTCCCATTCTCTGGACCAGCCTGGGCAAGAGTGGGAAGGAAGAGTGGTGGTCTGGAATGGTGGATCCCCATTACAGGTCAGGAAAGACTGCTGATCTTCTGCTTGGCAGGCCCGGACAAGGTGGGCATGAATGTCTCTTTCACACCCTGAGACAAGTTGCAGAATTCCCCCCTCCCCCCAGGCCACACTCGCCTCCATCCCTCTGGCAGGTGGGCCACAGGGACAACCTATCATCATGAGAGCTATTTTTATTTCTGCTCTTAACTCGTATGCCTGAGGAACAACGTGTGGATCTGAAAGCCCTGCTTCCTTGGATTTATCTGATTGAACGACATCGCGGCATTATTTTTTCTTCCACCCATGTCAAGTCCAGTCCAGTCCCAGGGAGTGCAATATTGTCTTACTATAAAGAGCACCTGGAGCTGCAGCAGCAAACTTTGCTTTTTATTTTTTTAATGTTTTTATTAATTTATAATATAAAATACAAAAATGCAAAAGAAAATAGTAGGAAAGATAGGGAAGGGAAAAGAGAAGGGAAACGTGTGGGGTAAGGGGGGAAAAAAAGAAAGAAAAGGCGTTGACTTCCAACTCCCCTTTGTGCAGTAGAATAAAATAATAACATCAAACCTCAACTTTTTACTTTTACATAATAGTATAAACTAGCCATTTCTATAACAACAAACCTATCTAATTGCTAAAAACCAAAATCAAAGTTTCATTTTTTGTCACCTCGAGCACATAGTCCAGAAGTGGTTTCCAAGCAGAAACAAAAGTAATTTTTTTCTTTAATCAAAGCAGCCAGTTTCGCCGTCTCTGCTAACTCCATCAACTTTTGCAGACATTTATCCACTGTGGGAATCAAAGTGTCCTTCCAGTTTTGTGCATAAAGCAATCTTGCTACCATCATATCTAGCATCAAAGTTCCAATTTTTTCCCTAAGTCTTATTTCATTAAAGAAAAGTTTCTGGTTTTATCTTTATATTCACTTTGAGAATCTTCTGTATTGGGATGGGAATCCTACTGCAATATTTCTTTGCTTTATCACATGTCCACCATAAGTGATAAAAGGTCCCTTCTTTACTTTTGCATTTTCAACATTCATTTGAAATACCTTTATACATTCTAGACAACTGATATGGTGTTAAATACCAATAAAAAGCAAATTTGCTTTTTAAAAAAAATCACAAGCAGCAGAAGATTCTCCGTGCAAAGCACACTGAAGTCATCCTCTTTTCAGGCTCAATGGTTGTGTCTCTTCAGGCCTGGGCTGGCTGCTGGCCAAGCCTTCGTCCAATCAGCCTCTCGGCTGTCCTGCCTTTGGTCTGAAGCTAAACTTGAACTTCACAAAATCTTATGTATGTGTACTATAAAGTTCCTCTGGTTCATATCACCCTAGACTTTATCGGATGAGATGTACTGTATACCTAAGCCAGATCTCACCATTTCCCCCCCTCCCCCCCAAAAAGGAACCAGGGGAAAGACACGCTCCAGCTGCTTTTGCTAATCCTTCCCAGAGGCCTTCTGCTGCTAAATTAGTTGCTACTTCAGGTCTCAGACAATTACATGGAATCCAGAGTGGCACGTGCAGGCAAGTTCTGGCTCGTGGACACCCTAGTTTCCATCCAAGTGAGGTGCTTAAAAAACTAGCCAACACCTCTCTGCTGCTGTGCAATCCAGCACGAAATGGCTACCCTCACTGGGCATTTCTGCAGGTCCCTGGAGAGCCTGAATTCGCCTCGAGCTTTTCCTGGGAAGGGCCAGAGCTTGTTGCCCATCCCTATCCAGACCTTCAGATGAAGCCTAGAGGAGGGGTGAGAATCCCTTCAGAATAGTACAGATTAGGAAACCATCGCCAGATAGGCCAGTATTGTAAAGCTACAGTAACAGAACTTTGTAAGTCTGAATGTGCTTGGCCCCTCTCTCTCTTTAACTAGGAAGGGGCTTGGTCTGCGAGGCTTCCTTGCATTACATTTTAGCCCAGGGCCTTTTATCTAACCACTGCCTTGGTAGCAGCTCTTCCCCCTGACCTTCCAGGCCATTTCTTCTGCCTGGAGCAGCCGTGGGTGGGAAAGTCAACTGGACACTATAGACATGATGTAGGATGGCTTCCCCAATCCATTGCTGCTCTCTTGTGTACAAAGCAGACAAAATGGCCTGGAAGGACAGCGAGTATCCTACAACATGTCCACGGGGAACGTACTCTGTGTGCTATCTCCTCTCCTCTCCTCTCCTGGTGAACCAGGTTCTCTGGAAATCCCAACAGTCCCGTCCCTGTTAGCCTTTTGCAAATCTTTAAAGACCTGGGTGTTCCCCAGTGCTTTGGGCCAGAAGGGGATGTCGGTTCTACTGGTCAATGTTGCTTTGTTCTAAGTCAAACATCTGGCTTGCAACCTGTGGCGTTATGATTTGGCTTGTTTAACATAACATTGTAGGTCGCCCAGAGTCACTACCAAGAGATAGGCAGCCATCTAAATCAGATAAGTAAACACAAACTATTGGATTTTGGATAGATGGTGAAGCTGAAAATACTTATAGGTCACGTCATATGTGTGTTTATGTGTGTGCGTAAAAATAGAAAGACAAGCTTACCTTTCTTCCTTTTAGAAGGACTTGTGCCTACAAAAGAAAAAAAAACATATATGTATATATATATTTCTGTTGATGAAATTACGTCCCATATCTATTAACATCTGATGAATAAAGAATAAAAATCCAACATCCATCCCTGCACAATACATTCAGTATACGAACAAGAACTAAAAAAAACTAGAATATAAATACTTTTATAATTATATTTTGGGGTTCAGTGTAGTCCTCAACCTCCTGCCAGAGCAGGAACCACTCCCGGAGGTGATGGAGACTCCAGGAGTCCGGGAGGCAACTACTCTCCACTTCATGGCATCCACACACAGCTTAATGGAAGACGTAGTGAAACCCTCCCCTTGTCAATCATCCCGCTAACCATCTTCCCCTCTACCGGGTTCTCCTTCTCCTACTCTCTGGATGCTTCCTACGGCCAGACAGTCAGAGTTGGATCTTGAGGGATGTTGGACCGGAGAGCAGGACAGAAAGAAGTGGAAAAATAGCTCCATTTTCTGCAAGACAATTCAGCAATCAACAAAAAAAAAAAAAAATATCTGGGACTCCATTCTGTTGTGTTTCTAAAGCTACCACAGAAATGGGTTCCCATTTGTCTCTCCAGCCCCTGATGTGCTGCTGCCAAAATTCAGTGGGCAAAAATGGGTCATTTCAGAGGGGGATTCCATTTAAAAAAAGGGGGGACAGCAACTTGGCTTCCTTTTCATTCTTGAACACTGACCGACAGAGAAGGCCTAAAATCCAGTTGATTCAACCCTCCAGTTCAAGGCTTTGTCTTCCTGCTCTTTGGTCCTCACAATTAAAAGAAAATAGGGCTAAAATTGGTCTTCCTGCAGGCCCTGCTTGGTTGAGGGGAAGGGCTTCCCCACCGATTCAGAACAACTTTTTTTAAAGGGCAAGCAAAACATTTATTTGTTTTGTTTGTTTGAATTATTTTTATAAATAATTCAAGGCAGCAGACACACTCCTTATATCCGCTTCTGGGAATCAAAATAAACAGAAAAGACCTGTTGTAAAAATGTGGCCCTTTCCAATGGAGTAAAACAATGGAACAAAAAAAGCCACCCCCCTCCCCAAATACCAATAAATATCAGAGAAAAGAAGGATACAGACAATTATAAAATTACCTAAACAATTAACCAATTTGTCTGAACATGCCTGAAGAAAAATAGAATATCCTGGCAAAAGAGTATGATTGCGCAATTCCAGAGAGTTTGTTGACTAGGAAGCGAGGCACCCAGATTAAGTTCACACCAGAAAGCAGAAGCGTGGGAGATTCACTTCACTTTAGTGTTTCTGAGGTTGCAAAAACTTTAATTGATACGGTTGCTTTTCCCAGGCTTCGGCCAGTCAGTGGGGACTTATGAAATGGCCATGGGTAAGAACACGATTACAGGAAGTCCTTGACTTACAACAGTTCACTTAGTAACAGTCGAAAGTTACAACAGCACTGAAAAAACTGATTTATAACCATTTTTCACACTTATGGCGGTTGTAGCATCCCCATGGTCACGTGGTTTACATTCAGATTCTTGACAACTGACTCATATTTATGACGGTTGCCATGTCCCGGGGTCATGTGATCTCCTTTTGCGACCTTCTGACAAGCGAAGTCAATGGGAAGCCAGATTCACTTAGCAACTGTGTTACTAACTTAACAACCACAGAGATTCACTTAACAACTGTGGCAAGAAAAGTCGTAAAATGGGGCAAAACTCATTTAACAAACTTCTCACTTAGCAACATAAATTTTGGGCTCAATTGTGGTTGTAAGTTGAGGACTACCTGTACATTAAAGCCTCTGCATAATGGTGGGGTGGAGTGAGGGTCACTGATTTAGAGAAGCCCTTCTCGAATGAAAATGTGACCTACATAATTGGAAAAGGTGCCAGGAGGCAGCCGGATCCCCAGTTGGCACCCAAACAACCCAAGAGTTGACCGTCTCTGAGGATGAGAGGAGGAGGCGGCACTCCTCAAGGTGGGCACCATGATTTAGAAGGATCATCTGACAGTCTCCTCCGAGGTGTGTCCAAAGGACAACAGCCGTGAGGAGAAGGGATCAGGAAAGAAAATGCATTTGATACGCTTGGCTCGAAGTAGTTGAAGGACTGCCATTTTGCAGAGAGGGCCGAATTGTTTAGTTATTTCAGGGGACTAACCAAGAAATGGTGGGATTACATTTCAAGGACATCGGCTTATTGTAAACTCCAAGAAACATTTCTTACCATGAAGAGCTACTGAACAGTGGAACAGATTTCAAGGTGTGTGTGTTTTTATGTGTGTTTAAACAGACTGGAAGGCCATCAGTCAGAGGTTCTGAAGCTGTGGAGAAAATGTTGGCCCAGTGATCTTCAAGGTCTCTTTCATTCTACGATTCTGTGGGGCTCAGGTAATCCTAATAACGGAACAGTTTTATGAAGGGAAAGCTGCTCTACATATCAGGAGGTTACGTTATTTAGAGCTGTACCTCCCAGAAAAAGCTTTAAAAATCCTATTTTTTAAAGAGTTATTCAAAAGACATAAATTAGGTTTACCCCTGAATATCACCTATTTATATTTATTTTTATTTATTTATTTATATTTAAATTTATATGCCGCCCTTCTCCCCATGGGACTCAGGGCGGCTCACAGCATATTAAAACATTGTACAAAAAGAAATTTTCCCCTGCTAAAAACCAATTAAAATCCAAATATTAGTAGCTGTGGCTCTTTAAAATTGTTTAAAAATTGTCCCTAT